ACCACAGGCGCCCGCCACAACGCCCGGCCATTTTTTAGTTCCAGCCGTCATTGTTGTTTGGCCGGCCCGGGCTGGGGATTCGAACCCGCCACCTTAGGTGTATGTGGCTGGCGCCTATAGTTGCTTGAGCCACAGGCGCCGAGCCAATAGTTCAGGCTTTGAACACAAAGGAACATCTCGTTCCAGCCCTCCCTGGTGTTGCCGAATGTGCCGTCGCGGTTCTCCGGCTGTGTCCTTGGACACAAAGTTGTCAATGTGAAGGTAGCTCCGCCTCGGCGCAAGCGTCTCTGGGATTTGTAGTCCCGGCGCTCAAGTGCGGCAGCTTTAAATGTGGTTGTTAACGACCTACGCTTGCCGGGCGGTGGCTGTGGCTCCGTGAGCGGGTAGCGGGTCCCACATTCTGATGGTGGCTGGTTCGAACCCTGCCTGGCCGAGATTCTGCGTACACTTCCTTCACGTGTACTCGCTGCGTAGAGAGCGCGCGTGTAAGAATGCGCACAGTTAATAACATCCGCTGGTTTTGATGTGTTTTGTTCGGCTTTTTTTCCTTTTTGTTTATCAAAACTTGGGGAAAAGTAGAAGGGTTTCACATATGTTTGAAAAGTAACTGTTAGTATTTCCAACAGACATCTCCTTTACGAGGGGCCCCTGTGGCTCAGTGGGGAGGGCGCCGGACCCATATACCGAGGGTGGCGGGTTCAAACCCGGCCCCAGCAGAACTGCAGCAACAACAACAAAAAATAGCCGGGCGTTGTGGGGGCACCTGTGGTTCCAGCTACTCGGGAGGCGGAGGCAAGAGAATCGCCTAAGCCCAGGAGCTGGAGGTTGCTGTGAGCTGTGACACCACAGCACTCTACCCAGGACGACAAAGTGAAACTCTCTATAAAAGGGAAAAAAAGAACATTTCATTTACTACTACTGTGCCTGCTGCTCTGCTAGATATTCGTGATTATTGCACTAAGTGGATACACTCTGTACACTTTTTTTTTTTTTTTTTTTTGAGACAGAGTCTCAGTATATCGCCCTCGGTAGAGTGCTGTGGCATCACAGATCACAGCGACCTTGAACTCTCAGGCTCAAGCGATTATCTTGCCTCAGCCTCCCAAGTAGCTGGGACTACAGACGCCCGGCTGTTTTTTGTTGCAGTTGCTATTGTTCTAGCTGGTCCGGGCTGGGTTCAAACCTGCCACCCTCGGTGCATGTGGCTGGCCCCGTGACCACTGTGCTACAGGCGCCAAGCCTAATTTAAAACTTAAAAATGAGGGCAGCATCTCTGGCTCCATGGGTAGGGCGCTGGCCCGGTATACTGAGAGTGGCGATTTCAAACTAGGCCCCAGCCAAACTGCAACAAAAAAATAGCCAGGAGTTGTGGCAGGTGCCTGTAGTCCCAGCTGCTCGGGAGGCTGAGGCAAGAGAATGGCCTAAGCCCAAGAGCTGGAGGTTGCCTTGAGCTGTGATGTTATCGCACTCTATCGAGGGCAACAAAGTGAGACTCTGTCTCTTTAAAAAAAAGGGCGGCACCTGTGGCTCAGTGGGTAGGGCGCCGAACCCATATTCTAAGGGTGGGGGGGTTCAAACACGGCCCTGGCCAAACCGCAACAACAAAAGCAAAGTAGCCGCGTGTTGTGGCACCTGTAGTCTCAGCTACTCAGGAAACTGAGGCAAGAGAATCGTTTAGGCCGGAGAGTTTGAGGTTGCTGTGAGCTGTGATGCCACAGCGCTCTACCAAGGGCAACATAGTGAGTGAGACGCTGTCTCAAAAAATAAATAACAATAAAATATAATAAAATTTTAAAATGAGCTGAGCACTGTGGTATATGCCTATAATCCCAGTTATTTGGGAGGCTGAAGCAGGAGGATGATTTAAGGCCAGGAGAGACCACCCCAATCTCAAAACAAAAAAGACTGCATTCTCATTCTCATTCTCATTGTACAGAGCTCAACCAGGGAAATAGAACCGGTGGGAGCTAGATAGTGAGAGTCTGGTTCTTGCAGCTACAAAGGTGGGCACCCTTCCTCAATGCTGTCTTGAGCAGCTTAGGAAGGACAAGGGCCAGCACTTTGTCTTGGTACTGCCCCACCCTTAATCCTACCCCTAGTCACTCCCATACCAAGGGGAAGGAGGAACACTGCCAATCTGCAAAAGAGCCCAGGGAATTCCCCAGCCCCGGAGGCACTGCAGGATTGGAAAGCGACCCAGAGTACCCGAAGGCTAATTATCATGTTAACTCTCCCATCAGAGTGGATCTGTGGTGACTTCTGAACCATGAAGAGGGCCCAATCCAAACACTATTTTAAAACGAGACCCCAGACCATAATCCGAGCCTCTTTTTTTTTTTTTTTTTTTTTTGAGACAGAGCCTCAAGCTATCCCCCTGGGTAGAGTGCCAGGGCATCATGCTCACAGCAACCTCCAACTCCTGGGCTCAAGCGAGTCTCCTGCCTCAGCCTCCCAAGTAGCTGGGACTACAGGCGCCCGCCACAACGCCTGGCCATTTTTTGGTTGCAGCCATCGTTGTTTGGCGGGCCGGGCTGGGGATTCGAACCTGCCACCTTAGGTGTATGTGGCTGGCGCCTTAGCCACTTGAGCCACAGGCGCTGAGCCAATCCGAGCCTCTTAACAAGAATGGGTTTGTTCATTGTTGGTGGCGAACATATCCTACTTTTCCTCAATAAACCTCAGTTGGGGCTGTCCTTGTTTTCATGTTGTTGTGGGAAGATGAAGCCCAATGGAGAGAATGAACACCCAAACACCGTATTTAAGAGGAAAAAGGCTTTATAATGGCAGAATATATAAAAGGTAGAATATATATATACCAGCAGTACATAATGTTTGATTGAATATAGTCTAGCTGTGACCAGATGAAGAGAGTCCAGCTGCCTGTCACTGTCAGACAATGTGCAGAGATGGGGGTGGGTCCACCAAACTTTGTCAAAAGGCCAGCGATTCTGGAGAATAGTGAGAGTATCCCCTCTAAGACTGTTCTGTTCTTCCATTTACAAAATCATAGTTTTAAACAAAAGTTCAAAGCAAAGACCACATTAACCCTTTTAAAGAATAATAATCAGCATAACTCAGTGACCTGTTAAAACATTCCAATTCAAAAGTTAATCTCCAATAGCAGCACCTGTGGCTCAGTGGGTAGGGTGCCGGCCCCATATACCAAGGGTAGTGGGTTCAAACCCAGCCCTAGCCAAACTGTAACAAAAATATAGCCAGGTGTTGTGGCAGGCGCCTGTAGTCCCAGCTGTTCAGGAGGCTGAGGCAAGAGAATTGCCTAAGCCCAGGAGTTAGAGGTTGCTGTGAGCTGAGGTGCCACAGCACTCTACAGAGGGCAATAAAGTGAGACTGTCTCAAAAAAAAAGTTAATCTCCTAAATCAGTACACCTAAACTACTCAAGATAGCCATCTTTACGATGGGAGCTAAATTTAGAAAACAAAATGTATGGGAGACAAGAAATAAGGTCACTGAGGCCCTAAACCAACCAGGCAGATCTGGGTCCTGTTGGCCCTAGTCTGACTGACTCCATCTTGTTTTCTCACTACCTGTGCTTTCATAGCCACAGAACTTGGGATCATTCATTTGAGAGTGGCCCTTGAAATTTGGGAAGTCATTCCATGGAACCATGGTTTTGTTTTATTTTGTTTTGTATTGAAACAGAGCCTTACTATGTTGCCCTTGGTAGATTGCTGTGGCGTTACAGCTCACAGCAACCTCAAGCTCTTGGGCTTAAGCAAATCTCTTGCCTCAGCCTCCCAAGTAGCTGGGGCTATAGGCGCCCACCAGAACACTAGGCTATTTTGTTGTTGACGTTGTTTAGAAGGCCTAGGCCGGGTTCCAACCTGCCAGCCCCAGTTTATGTGGCCGGCACCCTAGCCAGTGAGCTACGGGCACTGAGCCCAAGGAACCATGTTTGACATTTTGTTGTGAGAAAGAAAAGTAGCTCAAAGAGTGTGAACTATGTAGGTGTGCAAAATTTGTGAGGGTCAGAAAGAGGAGAGACTTAGATGAGACTTCAGTCTCCGTCCACCACCAACGTGTGCCCAGAGGCAATTGTTCTTTCTTTCCTTCCCAGTGATTTCCAGATTAGCTGATAAATAACCTGAAATTTTATCACAGGTTGCACAGGGTGAACCTCATCCATTATCCTCATGTTCCTGGAATGTGTGGTAGCTACAAAGAATGTATAGCCAATCAGTGGCTGATGTTATTTAATTTAATTAATTTATTTATTTTTATAGAGACAGAGTCTCCCTTTATCGCCTTGGTAGAGTGCTGTGGCCTCACACAGCTCAGAGCAACCTCCAACTCCTGGGCTTAGGCAATTCTCTTGCCTCAGCCTCCCAAGTAGCTGGGACTACAGGCGCCCGCCACAACTCCTGGCTATTTTTTTGTTGTGGTTTGTCCGGCGCCCTACCTACTGAGCCACAGGCACTGCTCAGCTGATGTTATTTTAATGAACTGCCTCTTTGTTTCCTGTTTATCTGTTTATGTAGAAATAGGATTTTCTTTTTTTGAGACAGAGCCTCACTGTGTTGCTCTGGGTAGAGAGCTATGGTGTCATAGCTCACAG